TATAACTAAGGAAAATATTTTCTTTAAGAGGATTATGATTTTATTTTCCGGAGAATTCATTTTTCTTCCTCTTTTCATCTCTCTACTCTTTCTCACCTACCTGCTAATAAAACTCGGACAAATATAATATTTTCTAGATTGAAAATTAAATCAATCAAATATATTTAATCGACATTTTTTTTTATACAAATTCCATATTTGCAATCACACGTTTCTCTCTTTTCATAACAATGACAACTTGTCAATTTACAATTGGATGGATAACAAATTAGACAGCAAAAATAGATAGTAGATCTCAACTCGGCACAATAATGCAACATCGATTAAAAGTGGCAATTGAATTGAGTATATGTTTGCACATATCAATAGAGCCAAATGATGTTTCAATTGCAAAAGAGAATAAATTGACATGAATAATAATTTGTAAAAAAAAATATTCCGAAATTAACTGCCTTTTTCTTTTTATACATTAAAACACTAGCAAATAATGAATGTATTTGAAAAAAATAATCTCTTAATATTTTCTCAAAAGTATAATTTTCTCGATAATCATACTTCTCCCTTTCTTCTTCTTCTTGGTATTTTTTTAGTGCAAATGCAAACAAAGCATGTATGTAGAGGTATTGACATATTATTCAATACTGAATACATAATTAAAAATATTCAAGTTGAGTTCTTCCCAATAGTTTAAGTTTTTGAGACGAGATAAACTGAAAAAGTATGAGCATAGATAAAATTTAGTGTTTTATTTTCACCGCCATTCCCCTTATGAAAATTTACACGAATTAGACTTTTAAAGAAAAATGAATATATTATTATCACCCATATATTTGAGATAACTTCTTTTTTTTTTTTTTTATATGTAAGAGCTTTCAAAGAAAGTCGATTTGGATTCACTTCCTTTAAAAAAATAATAATAATAAATATATAAAAAAATATAAAAAAAATTAGTAACTCAAAAGTAGTTCTAAAAAATTTATTCAAACGGATTCAAAAATAGCTGGTTGCAAAGTGGAATTGAAAATAATCACCTCTCAAAGTTGGGCAGGCAGTCTTGTTGAACAAGATCTAAAACATTTATGTGGAGAGATCTAAAAGCTAAAAAAATAATGATCCCAAGTTGTAACAAGGGGGACAAGTAGAGGAATTCTTGAAAGGCCTAAAAAACCTATGCCAACAATAATGTCCACTCTATTCACCATGAAATGAAAGGGATACACTATGAAAACAAAAAAACTCACGCCCTGTTCTGTACGAATTCTTTAAAACTTATTTTCTTCAGATTAATTTTTAATCGTATATTTGTCCATAAAAAATATTACACAAAAAATCATACTTTTTAGTTATATATCTCCAAAAAATTACTTTTTACAAAATTTATTCTCAAAAAATCTATGTCAAATGGGGTTGTAACAAAGGAAAAAATTCGATTTTCTCGGGTGGAGAAATAATGGAACAAGAAGTAGAAAAAAGATACCCTTATGAGAAGGGTGGCATAAATGCAATGACCAATGGACTTGTCATCACGTGAACGATGCTTTTGTTGTTATTATTATATAAGTATATATTCTTTATTTGGATCCAAAATTGTGAATTGTTGCCCACAATGTGTTGGTTCAAATGAATAAATGACAAGTGCCAACGAAACATTCATTGGATCTTGTGAACAAAAAAGAGAAAAAGAGAAATTCTTTCACCTTTTTCTTGGATAATTTGAAAGGTAGAAGGATTAGAATCTATATGTTGGTTCTTAGTGCTTGTTTCGAATAACTTAAAATGTTAAAAAAAAAAAAATTTTAGGTTGAAATTAACCATTCGAAGACTTCCTTCAGAGAGATTGGGATGAATTCTGATTAGGGAAGCCGGCTATTTAAATCATATATTTTATACGATTCACTATTTTTATCAAATTTTCAATCACGCTTTTCTTTATTTTTTGTTAAAATCTTTTAAGACTTTTATTAAAAACAAATAACCCGTTAATCATTAATAGAAATGCATTGTATGTTTGTAATGTGAACAATTTAATATGAGAAGCAACCGAGAAGTCAAAATTAATCGTATTTTCGAATGATAAGTGAGAAATTTAGCCTTGTTTGGTAACTACTCTTTCAATTATTATTTTCATATTAATTTTCAACTACACATTTTCACATACATTTAAAATTTTTCATACTTTTTAACTACACATTTTTCAAAAATTTATTCAAAAACTTATTCTTTCTAAAAGAAATTCTGCAAACAAGTGCTTAATGGATAAGTACCAATTCTCTTGATTGATAGGTCAATGTTGATGTTACTTTTGAATTAAAAGTACTATTAGTTGCTCCTGTTATAATGTTTTCTAGTCAAAGTTAGTCACTAAACATTCAACTTCAATTCAATTTAGGCACTTTGTTTATTTTCGTTTGCTGAGTTACCAGAAGTGATGACATGATATCAAGAATCCAATAGTGCAATATCTTCTCGTCGAACTAGACAAGAGTCGGGTCTTCTTGGCACAAGTCTTGTATATTTGTTTTTTCCTTTTCGGTTGCTATGTAAAAATATATTTTGGAAGCACGAGTTTTTCAAAAGTATACGTATTTGCCTAATTCGACAATAGATTTAACACAATAAATCACTATGTCGTGTATCCTATTAAGTACATCAACACTTTAGAGCATGTTTGCATTCCATTTTTTGGAAATAATGTATTCTAAAATAGTGTTTTAACGGAGAATGTTTGATTATAAAATAATAAAAAATATGAATTTATGTGTAATATTATTTTATTGAAAAATGTGCAATTGAAAAAAAGAGAAAGAAACATGTATTTTGCGAAAAATGGAAATCAAATAAGTCATTAATTAATTCATCGTGATGGTATACAAATTGAAAGAAGAGTAAAAACTCATCGATTAATTTAGAAAACAAAAAAATTAGTACTTGTTTGGTAGTGATTTTGATAATTGATTTTTTGATCATTAGAGATAAAATGGATTCTACCTATGCGAGAAGAATTCAAAAATGACGGTTGAAATAGTGAAATAACGATCAAAAAATTG